GACTGAGACAGAGATAGAGAGACGGAGGGGAAGGCACTATGCGGGCTCTGTATGGCTGATGCTTTACTTCTGCTCTTGCAAATAATTCGCTTTATTTGGCACTCATCACGCGCGCTGATTGATTGATTGGTAGATTGATTGCCGCCAATGCCAGGCCTTCAATTCAATTAAAACATTTTCGTTTAAAATTTTTATCCACATGTAAATAAATATATATTCATATAGTGACTGCATATGTTAACAATTAAATGCATTTTTATTGCAAATGCCAAATTGGTTTGCCATTTCAGTTGATGTACAATAATTATGATTGATTCCTGCCAGCCGACCATGTGGCCTATTGGCCGTAAGTGCGCTCTGATTGCTGCTCAATTTGTGCATATGAGCGGTGCAATGGGTCGGGAAAAGATATATAATTAGGAAATTCAGCTGCCTGGCACGCCATGGCATTCTTTTCAACAAATTCCAGCGCAGGGCGCACCACAATGCATAGAATTCCAGCAGCGCCTGCTGCAACCGACACGGCGTATGCGCAATATGCAAACCAAAAGAACTGTGACTAATGAGCTTTATTTAGCTGCAGAGCTCATACAATGAGTGCTTATGTATTAAATGGGCGTAAAGTAAGACAATTGCATAGAATAATATTGTTTTTGGCTTGCAGAGCGAGCTCTGATGAAAAGAGCTCACAATTATATCGAGCCACTTGGCGTATACTTAATGTGAGTTGAATAAAAACCAGAATTTTAAAATTTGCAAACATTATAATAAAAACTAAAAACCTCATTAAAAAATCAATTTATATAACAAAATAAAAAATAACAACAAATTTATGAAAAATAAATAATTATTTTATTAAAAAATAAATAAAAATGTAATAAATAAAAATTTATTATTTCTTTTATATTTTTTGTATTTCTTTATTCATTTACTATTATTTTTCTTTATAAAATTATTGCTAGTATATTTTTAATAATTTATTTTTTCTTTATTATTTAATTTTATTATTTAATAATTCATTTTTAATTTAAGTTAAAATTGAAAGCTTAATTTATTTTTTCTTTATTGTTTAATTTTAATAATTAATTTTTATTTTAAATAATATTTTTAATTTTTGTTTTGTTTTGATTATTACTAATATACATATATTAGATTTAATGTAACTGTGCTAGTAAAGAGACTGGCTAACCAAATTTGCAGGCATGTTTTATATCTTTTTAAATGTCATTTGAGAACTTTTGACATTTAATATATACGTAAATGCAGACACAGTAATCGATAGCATATAATTCAGTTTAAGTTCTGAATTTTTACAACTGGCAAAATCTCTTTTAACTTAAATAAATCTGTCGAAATGTCAGCGCAATGGCAGTCGTTGGAGATAGAGAGAGAGAGAGAGAAAGACAGTGTGTGTGTGAGACAAAAGACAATAAAGTTCAGCCGGCACTTGCAAACTTAATTTGTATATATTAAATTATTTTTAAATTAACAATTTAATTGATTTATACAACAACATCATTTACGGTTAACCAAATGGGATTGCTTGTCGCAGCGCGAGCGCAAATGCTTCTTCATTTTCTGCGTTTGCCATAAAAAGTGGACGCCGGGCCTGTCATGTAAATCATTGGCAATTTAATTGAAAAGATTAAATATTAAAAATATCAATATTTAATTGATTACAGTGCAGTGTTGCTGTCTGTCCCTCACTGACCGTATCCCCCTTCCCTCCTCCACTCGCCCACTATTCCCCAGGCAGTGACATCAACACAGACGTCAGCTTAACTGCATTAATTTTATGTTGCATTGCATGTTTACTTCACGTTTTTCCCATTTTGTTTTTATCTCTGTTTTTTTTTGTTTTTGTTTTTTTTTCTGCCAGGTTAATGAAAAGGCGCTGCAAATTTGTTCGACTTAAATGACAGCTGATTATGTAAATTAATTTTTAAATGAAGAAAAATATAAATGAAAAAATATTGTTAAATGAATTCTGAAACTTTGATATCTGATTTATTAAATAGCTGAAGCTAATGATGACATTAGTTAATGATGTTTACTTTTTATCTATTAAATATGTGGGATTAATTTTTCTAAATAATTTAATTAATATAAATAATGGCTGACATTTTTTATATACATATTTTTAACCTTTTTTTTCGCTCATTTTAAATAATTACAGAAACAAGAATAAATAATAATAAATATATAAATAATATAGAACAAAAATATTTCATAGTAAATATATGAAGCTTAACTTTTCATTAGATTTTAAATAAATAAAACTATTTAACATAATAAGGAAATAAAACTTTATGGAAATATTTGTGCATATAATATGAATATAATAAACAACAGTAACAATTGAAATACAAATTGTTTTCATAAAATTCCACATAGTTCATGAAAATGTTGTAGTTGGCGCATAAGCACTTTATTATTTGTGCTCAAATCAATAAATTTATATTTAAAGTAAACAAACGAACGCAACGCTTCGATAAACATTTAAATATTATTTTCTTGTTAGCTGCTTAACTTGTTGTGGGTGCTTTGAATATTTAACAAACGGAATTTCGCTGAGGCTTGCTCAATGCCGCAAAGGCAAACTCAAACAAAATGTATTACAAATATAGCTATATATGTATATATGTGCATATACATATATACTTATAATAGGGTATACACACTTCGTTAGGCATCGATAAATATTTACACACACATATATATACATACATCATTTTTTTGGCTTAAACTCTTGTGTTTTGTTTACCCCGGCAAAGAGGAAAAGAAAACAAAGGGAACGAAAACCGAGAAACCGAAAAACCAAAATCGAATAAAGCGCACAAAAAAGAAAGAAAAACATAAAGAGTTGGCAAGTTGATGCGACAGGCAATTTACTGAATTATTAAATACGCTTTTAGGGGTAGGCGGAGCCAGATGTAGAGACACAGGATCTGAGGGATAAGTGCAGCCGACATCACAACACATACGAGAGCCAACAACAACAACAACAGCAGCAACAACAACAACATGGTGAAATTTTGATGAGCCCGCCGGCAGTTAATGTGCATGTCTTTTGATTAGATTTTATGTAAATGCTGTGGGCAGACAAACGGCGCATATAAAACAGGCAATAAGCAGGCCAAAGACAGACGACAGCTAAGGCTAAGACCATGGCTAAGGCTAAGACCAAGGCTAAGACTAAGACTGAGTTGCATCGTAAAACAGCTAGCCAGAAATCAAATAAATATATAATCAAGCAACTGCCGCAAGAGTATGCCGCGCTTCTTCAAAATTAGTATAAATGTGGCACGCGTGAGCTTTGAAGAGGGAGGAGGGGAAGGATCTGTGGCCCAGACTGAGGTTGAGGTTGGGGCACTGACTGATTGCGCGCTGTGTCTTTACGTCGCGCACCTGTGCGCCAAAGGTGAGCCAAATAAAATTGCTTAAAGACGACACAAATTCTGTTACAGTTGTCCCCAAAGCAGCTCGCAGCTCGCAGCCGGCATTTAGCTGAGGCATTGAAGCGGGGGCGGTGCTCGGGCATAGCCCGTACTTCCGGGAGCTGTGCGGTTTAATTAATTAAAGGCGTTAAGGCAAAATAAAGACTCGCACTTGGGGGAGCGGCAACAGTTTTTGTGTGAATTATGTGAGTCTGTGTGTGTGTGTGTGTGTGTGTGTGTGTGTGTGTGTATGCCATTCAGATCGTGTCTTGTGGCACTGTGCTTTGTTTGCTATTAGCGCTGACATTGTTAATCCGCATCATGAGCCTAGCATAAGACATGCAAATTATAATAATATACTATTTAATTAACTATGTGAGGGTACTCAGGGAAAATTATGTGTGTGTGTTTTAATAATCAGAACTCTTGAATGCAACAATGAAAGCTTGTTAGGAAATCTTTGAAACGACATACATATATGACCCGGCGTCGTATGAATATTCGGCAAACTTTGAACTTTAACACACACACTTAAATAATAAATAACCTTTATTTTACGTCAGGGATTAATAAAAAAAAGTACAATATGACCAAAGTTGGGTTATTATTTTTATACTTTTTTCTTTTTTTTTTCTTTTTATTAATATTGATTTATATATATTTTTTAGCTTAATAGTTGAATATTTTATTTTTAAATTTATTTGGTAAAAACTTTCTGGTGAATCGTATTTTATGTGTTTTTTTTTTATTTATTTTATTTTTTTTATATTGTATATATTTTATAACTTTTTAAGCATTTTTATTTCAAAGTACATTTTGATTTAAGTACTTATTGGTTCTTATTAATCCACATTTATATTTATTTATGTATATGAATGATGTATTTGCTATAAACTTAGCATTTGGGGCGTTGAATTTTATACCCAAGAGGACAAATAGATTTAAAAAAAAATTTTTTTTTTACTATTAAATATTTTAGTTTTGTTCTGATTTGTCTGGCTACATAATGTAAGCTTACCCATGGAATGAATGAATTAAAATGATTTACATTCATATATTTACTATGAGTAATAATCATTTGTAATAATTATATTTTATATAATTTATATATTATATTTATAATAATTTAAACAAATTAAAAAATAAATGAAATAAATAAGCAAATATTTCTAAAACTGCTTATAGTTCACATATTTTAATATATTATAAATTTTAGTCTTAAAAAAAGTCTTAGTTCCAGCCCTATTTCTATTGGTAATTAATAAAAAAAAAATTCAGTAAGTAAAAAATCCAATTTTGGTCTCTCAATCAATAGAAGTTGATTAATCGCATGATATCACTTATATTTTAGCACATTTGTTTATTAGCAAATATCTAATATACGATATGAAACATTTGTATTTTACTGTTAACAAGCTCTCTTATCAGCCCTCAAATATTTTCTTATCAAATATCTCAGCATCTGAGTTGAAGTTCACAGAGTCTATTCAACAAAATTGCTCTTAAAATAAACATGAACAGCATTTCAATTTCAATGTGGAAATGCCGCATTTGATTGCTTACCTGATTTTTAATTAAACACATTTAAATGCGCCCGCGGCCGCTTTTGTAATTTGGCTTTGACATGAACTTTTAGACAAACATTTTGGCTGAATATTAAGTAGCTTTTCCTTCTCTTGCGGTTGTTGTTGTTGTTGTCGTTGTCGTTGTTACTTCTTAAGTGTTTTATAATTTACTTTAGTTAGCACGAGAAAAATTGAAGTAATTGATTTAGCTCGGAAATTCTCAGCTTATGTCAAACGTTTAAAGAGCCGAGAGTGGAGCACAAACACAAATGCCTAATTTGATCAAACTGCAGTCGAAAGTTTTGTTTTCATACTGAGATCACCTAGGGGCACTGAAGCACTGGAATGCTGCGGCAGCATATAAAGGGAAATTGAAGTTTTTGTCTAATGTGCGTTGCGTATCAATTCCCGGTTGGCAGCTGTTAGTTAGGCTATCTGGCAACTTGACTTTGTCTATTGCCTCAACTTTAAGTTTGTTGCGACACACGCGTCAAGCACACGTACGTACGTACGCACGCACACATGCACACGCACACGCAACACACACTCGCAAATGTACTGAGTCGAGCGCAACTGCAGAGGAGCGCGCGTGCAGACGTCTCGACGTTGAAAGCAGAACTGAACAACGGAGGCAGCTGCTGCGACCGTCCTTAAGCTTCAGCGTGCCGACAGCGAGCCGAAGCGAACGGCACGAACGAAACGAAGCACTCTTGCGGCGCCGGCAAAGCAGTGCACATTCGCTCTCTTCGGGCGCTCTCTTCGTGCCAAACTGTTGATTCTTTTCGTTGAACATATTCATTTGTCTGCGGACTATGCTAGTATATGTAAGTATGTATGCATGCATATTTAGGTGTGTGTGTATATATGTATAATTGTTGTAATGTGACAAATTCTTGATAGAAGTCGAGCCAAGCAGCGGGCCGGGCTAACAAATTGCTTTGCATGTCATCAAAACTGAGAACGGCTCGGCCATGAAAATGACAATTCATAAACACATTAAGGCAAACATTCGACTGCGGAAGTGATGGGGGTGGCAAGATATGGGTGGGGTTATCTGGGAAGTGAGAGAGTTCAGAGCTTAGAGCGCTGAGTGGGAGTTGTGAAAAAAAAAGAATGAGCTGATATTTTTTCGTGATGGTGCAACACAATTATCTTTCTTTTCGCCAACCCCCATAGGAAGGTGAACAACAATGGGTCGATAAATTTAGTTAAGTGAAAGTGTTCTGAATAATGCAAACAGTCATTGTATATCCATACATATACATACACACAGCGCATACAAAAGCTTTTTTCTTGTGTCACCCTTTTTTGTTTCACGAAATATAATGAGTTATGTTTGCTCAAGTATAAGTAAGGCAACAACATAATAATACAACTACTGTTAGGCTTGCTGCATGATACCGTAATCTGATCTTAGCCATAATCATAATCATGTGAACAAGCAGAAGGCGAGTGATTAATGTAGCTAAGAGCGCTTAACTAACTTTAATATTTATGTTGAAATGTGGTTTGAGGATGTGAATTTAATGGATCATAAAAATATATATATTAGAATATGTATTTATTCAATGGAATATACAAAATTGCTTGAAATATAAATTTAAATTATAAAGATTTGCAAAAGTATTTTATGATAAAAAATATTTAAATTAAAATAGCATAGACCAAAAATAAAAGACAAAAACAAGTTTGAAACTAATTTTGGAATATGAATTTATTTTTATAAATTTAAAAAAGTTTTGGAATATGAATGTATTTAAATTATAATAAATAAAAGTGCCATAGATAAATTCTCAAAATAAAAGTCTGAATATGAATTTAAATTTCAATAATTTTCACAAAATATTAATAATTTCCATAACTTGTCAGAAAATATATCCGAGATTCGCAAAATTTCATAGCTTGTAAATAAAATAGAGAAAAATATAAAATGCTGAGCTTGAATTTAAATTTTCAAAGTTTAACTTGCACCACAATTAGTTTTCCCTTAATTGGATTTAAATTTCAGAGATTGCAGAAAAATAAAAATTGTTATGAAATGCTCTGCATCAGTTTAAATTTGCAAAGTTAAGCTTTTGCAGTTTTCTAGTTTTCGCTTAGATGAACCGAGCTGCACTCATTTAACCACATGCCTGGGAAAATGTTTCCCTTTTTGTTTTCGACATAATGAGAACTTTGTGTCAGCCCTGCATGGAAATGGAGACAAAGCCTTTGTCTGGCTGTCAACATGAATTCCTGTTGCGCTGTTTCGAGCTTGCGCCAATTAAAGCTTAAGCTCCAGCAAATTATTCTAACGGCAGTGTACACATGTTTTCCCACTACATAATGCCAATACTCTTGGCCAAGACAATGGCCCGGCCGCATGATGGACAGCATTTGTGGCCTGTGGTCTGTCCATTGTCCGCCCCGGAGCTGGCCCAGATAAACTCGAGTGTAGTTGCACTTTACACGACACGGAAATAAAAAGTCAGACAGTCAACTGGGAGCAGAGTTGCATAGCTGTATTGCTGCATTGCTGCAACCGAATGTGTGGAGAGCTCAGAAATTCTCAACTGGCTGGCGACAGTTTTTCTTCATAAACACAGGTTTTAGTTTTCCCCCACTGACAGTTGGACTCATAACTTGCCAGCCCCTAAGTGTGATTCATATGTTGGCTCGTTATTTTGGGCTAATGGCCAAGGACTTGGCCAGGCCGACAGCAGCCAGCTGCTGGCCGTCTGCCGTCTGCCGTCTTTGCCTTGTCGCTCAATATTTCTTTTTTTTTTTTTTCTCGCATCACAAAAGGTATTAAAATAAATACATATACAATGGCTAATAAAAGTTTACATATATTTCCCCATTTGCCTGGGAAGACATGGCCGTTGTCCTTGCCGCAAAGCCAAATGAAACACGAAATTAAAATACCCAGAAGCCACACACAGATAAACAAAAATTTCTCACTAAAAAAAAAAAAGAAGGAAATATAAAAGAAATGGGATTGCAGGGAATGTGGTTGATGTGAATCGAGAACAACTGACAGGGTGTAACACATTTGGGTTACAATTTCCAATCTATCTATTTATTATTAACACTTCAATGGCGCCAAATAAAAAGGAAAACATTTACATACACACACACACACTTACATACATATATATACACGGATATTGCAAATTTGAAGCAACAAATTCTTAGAACAAATTTCTTATATTATGTTTGAGTGTCAAAATTATTTAATGTGAATTTTTAATGTTTTTTTTTTTTTTTATTTTATTTCATTTTTATTTTTATAATTTTCCTTAGTCTAAAAAATTTTAAAAATTGTATAAGAAATTAATGGTAGTAAATCTCTTATAAGTAGTAAGCGATATAGAGCATATAGCATATAGAAAGAAAGGGGCGAATGTATTTTTAAAATAATGTATATTAATGTATGTAATATATGTATGTATGTATATGAATTTCTTATTATAAAATAAGAAATAATAATTAATATAATAGGATTAATATATCATTAAAAATATATATATATTATTATGTATAACATATAATAATGAAAGAAAAATGAATGTACTAAGATTAAATATCCAATATATAATTAAATAATATTTATTATTATACAATAGTTAACAAGAGTTTAATAACAATTTGAATACAAAATTGAGAAACTAAAGAATTATAAATACATATTAATTTGTTAATTTAGATGAATTTGCTATACATGCAAAACAACAAATGAAACATAACAAATTCTTTATGCTTGCTTGGATGTCGTACATCATCTGTCGCATAATCTTGATGAATTAGATACAGTCAGACGGCTAGACAGCTGGACAAACAGAATGACAGCGAATAAGCCTGGTTGTCAATCTGTCCGCTTGTCTGACGATTCGTCTGTCTTTGTTGCTGTTGCTGTTTGCATGGAAATGCTTTTCAACTGAGAGTGACTCTTAAATACCCCACTCAACAATTTGATGCTGCTGAATATGCATAAATTTGATATATGTAAATGTAGTGGGCGCTATTCGACTAGGACTTAGAATCCAAGTATTAAAAAAATCACAGTTATTAATTATCTTATTTATCTGCATGTGAATGGGAATAACTTTTTAGCAAACATTTTGATCTTAGCTTTTCATGCAAGCAAGAAAATATTTATTGCATTCTCTATATAATTTTTGAGTTCTCTACATAGTTTTTTCCGTGCTTTTGTGTGAAACAACATTTTCAAAATTCCAAATTAAAATTTAGCCACACACACACACATATATATATAGCTGACTATGCATATCCATACAAAACACACACAGTATGCTGCTGCTGCTGTTGTTGTTGTTGTTGTTGTTGCTTTGCCTGTGCTTTATGGCACACATGAATCGGCATCTTTCGCATACTTTGGTTTGCCAATGGTCCGCTGGCAATAGCTGGCGGCAGCGGCAGCGGCAGCGGCAGCGGCAGCGGCGGCGTCTCCTGGTTTTCAGTGCATAATCTGTTTGCTTCGCTCGTCCCACATCTCTCTGTGTGTGTGTGAGTGTGCGTGTATGTGTGTGTGCGCTTGTGCTCTGTGAATGCATTGAACCAGAAATATGTAGATATGCCAATAAGAGCATTTATTGTCTCATTCCCTGCTCTGAACCCCTCACTCCCTCTCTCTCTCCATCTCCCTCTCACTCTTTGTGTATTCTCTTCTATGTTTGCATTTGAATTTTGTTTCATTGTTTGTTTGTGATTCCAGCAAAATGTGCATGAAAATCGTCAAACGAGAATTATTTTCAATTTAAAATATAAAATTTATTCTTCTTACTTTATGTCTCGTTGTCATTCATCTCAGGCTTATCTGCAAGTCTTTTTAAAACAGTCTCGCTTACTGTACATATCAATTGTCTCCGGCTGGCAGTTGTCATTCAGCTGACTTGCTGCTCCATTGGAGCCTTGGCTAGTGCACTTTATGCTAAGGTCAGCTACAGCGTAGTTTAAGATATTAAAATTCGCCCAGACTCTGCAGACCCAACTCAACTCAGGGCACAAAAGGCACTTGGGGCTGCTGTCAATTGCTTATGAAAACAAGTAGCGGGTGCTGCCACAATGTCTTACAGCTTCAGTTAGTTCATGAATTATTTAAGAAATTAATTAACTAACAGGTTCATAAAGCGAGCGAGAGAGAGAGGGGGAGAGAGAGGTAGGTACATTACCTGCACTTTAGCTTATCATAATGATAATGAATTTCATTGTTCAAGCTCAAATTTGAGCTGTGGCCAAGCTCTGTTTACTTATATTTAACTCAGCCTCTGCCTTTGCTGCCTTTATTGAGGTAAGTTGCTGGTTAAAGGGGCGTATGCGCAATATCATGTTGGCATTTTTATTGGCCTTAGCCCACACAGCGAGACAAGTATGAAATTGCTTTTCAATGCTGAGTGACTCTTAAATACCCCACTCAATCAATTTGAGGGAACATATCCAACTGGCTGGCAGAACAAAAGGAATCACTAGCCCCACAGCAGCCGTCAGCTGTCCTTAATATCGGTTTTCCGTCCTCATCTTCTTCTTCTTCTGCACAGCTATTTGATTACACATGTGAGTGTGTATGTGTGTTGGAGTGTGTGTATGTGTGTGTGCGGTAGATTCTGTGAA